CTAGAAATTGAAGACTGCTTTTACCCCTTGCTAGATAAGTTGATTTAAAATGGTATCTGAGAAACAGTGGGATCAGATGCACAGGGGAAAAAATAATTTTAACAGAAAGTAATACCAGGCTATGGCACCCACAGAAACCAAATCTGTCTCTAGCCATAAGCCAGCAATGTTGATGCAGTTTGGAACTGCAAAGATAGCTTTCAAAAACTTGGACTGGAAAGCTTTTAGGATATTACATTTTATAAAAGCACAAATCTGAATCCATAGAGAAAGTGCAAAATAATCATAGCAAGAAAGACTTTGTCGGCTGTGTGAATACAAATGGTAGATAGGGATTGAGTTAAATAAAAATAGGTACTGGCATTGTTCTTCACAAAACTTTATGATATGTAATATAAATCTTAGATAAAGTATGAGAATCTTTGAGATTGAGTATGTGCTAATTTACCAATTCCGCAAAACAAACGAACAAAAATACTTTTACCTTCAAAACATAAATATAAAAAGGTTTATTCTGAAACTGTTGATAAATCCAGAAACACTGATAGCAACTTGATCACATTATATCCTTGCCTATCCCCAAAAGACAAGTGGCTTTCACAATTAAGTTAAAAGGTTTACTTTAAAATTATCTTGTTCCTCTTTGAGTTGAGTAATAGCATCCTTTTTCTCCTTAGCCTAGTGACCAAAGGTTTTCTAGAGTTGAGGAAGAGCAAAGAGATTTCTAGCAGCTATCAGTTTTTAGCCAAAATCTTTAATCAAATTGCCCCATTGCCCTCAATGTCACTTCACAGGACTTAGTTCATGTCTTCCTGATCTTTCTTGCTACCCTTCTCTAGACCAGCTTTAAATAGTCTGAAGTCTCTTTAAGTGATGTACCCAGAATTGGACACAATATTCAAGATAGAGTTTGACTTTTTTCTGAAACAGTTATTTCTTGTGAATACTGTATAAAAGTACTGTTCATGCAATCTAAAATTGCATTTGCTTTTTTTTGCAGTCACTTGCAGCCACATTAATAGTCTCAAAGTTTGAAATAACTTGCTAGTCCAAAATCATTTTCATAGCTATTACTCTGAATCAGGTCTCCCCCTTCTTATATCTTTGATATTCATGTCTTAAGTGAAGCGCTCTGTTTTGATATTTACTTTACTATTTCTGGGTAACAATACGTAACAATAGTGAATTTCATGCCCACATACCAAAAAAGTCCATTTGGAAATTGAAAATGTGGTGTAGTGATCAAGGTGCTGGACTGAAGCCAGATCCCTAAATTTTACTCTTCTAGTCTTAGTCCTGGATTGGGACGCTGGAAGACACCTATTTGCCAACCTGCACTTAACTAGCCTTGTAGTTTACAGCCCATAAGCTTTACTGAAGAGGGCTTTATCTTGCAGTGGATTGATTTGGCATAAGAATAAGAAGAGTAGATAAGAAACAGATTTTATTGCAGTAGTTGTCTTTTTTCATAATATATACCTTAAAATATTTGGTCCATTAATAGACCATAACAGACATTGGTCTGTTAATGTTATTGCTGTGCAATTTTTATTATTGATTTGTACCGGGCAATTTGTTTTTCAACTTGTTTTGAACACTTGCCCCCAAAGAACAATTTTTGGCAGAGTTCTCTGGGGAAGGTTTTGCAATCACAGATATTTCATTCCCATTCTAAATGTAATTATTTCAAAAGGACAAAGGGCACCAAAAGATTCAAAACCTAGATGAGAAACAGAATTATTTTTTAGAAACAATTTGAAGAGAAATGTAGGGGGCCAGTGCCAAGGGGTACGCTGTTTGGGTTTGCTATGTGATCATTTATTTTACTTATTTATTTTTATCTAGCCTTTATTATTTTTATATGTAACTCAAGGTGGTGAACATACCTAATACTGTAGTCTTTCCACCTCCTATTTTCCCCACAACCCTGTGAGGTGAGTTGGGCTGATAATAAACTCTTTGACACAATATCCGATAATTTCTAAAGATATTTAATCATAAACTATTCTTTGCTACCTCTCTTTTTAAGAATTACTCTCAAATATAGGTTTCAGACAAAGCATATGCAAAGCAAAGAGATCACCATATTTATAGACAGATTTCTATACTTTTATTATTTGATATATGATTTTCCCCCCATTTCTGTTAGAAGTCTGAGTTGTATCTTATTCTAAGGGTACCTATTAGTCTGCGCTTTATATAGTATATACCAGAATTCTGGTTTGTGTTCAGAAGCCTTCTAAAAAGTTTTCTCCTCTTCCTTCCAATAAGTGTCAAAATGAAAAGATAAACATTGAATAAGCCTCAATATTGTGCTTGAAATTTTGCAAGGATTTTAAATCTGCGTATTACAGTACTACTTAGGAACATTTTTATTCGTTTATGTTCCTTCATCTTATTTGCTTTGCCATTTTCTTGAATTCTAAACAGAATCCAATAATACATACTGTAATGTCTTTTTTATTTTCTTTTTAGATTACTAGAAAATTCAGGCTCAATTCTGAGGGAAAATTAGAACAGACTGTCTCTATGTCAACTACTACGCAACCAATGACTCAGCACCTTCATATAACGTACAAAAAAGTGATTCCTTAAAAAGGAGGATTTGTTTCATCAAGAAAAAGACATTGCATGGAGAGAACTGAAGTAGCTTGAAAGCAAAATATGACTTTGCATCTTCACAACCCAATTCATAACCAAGAGTAGAAACTGCAGTTGCTGAATGAGTTTATTCTGAGTTTCTGTAATAGAAGACTTACAAAACCAGACAAAATCAAAAGCCAATAAAAAAGCTTTTATTTTTAAAGGTGTGACTTGGAGTGGCATTCTGTTGCTTTAAAAATGCTTGCAAAGGCATGTATTAAAACTTCCAAAATGTATTGCAGATGACTCTACTTCAGTGCAACCCAAAGTCCAAATCTGTTAATTCCTTTATGATAGTATAGTAGAAGAACCACTACCTGCTTAATGTTAAATGACCAGTGATGAATCTCTATTTCATGTCCAAATGCAGCTAGTGAGTTCTCTGGCTTGAAGTCCATGTGGAAGTCCCTATTTCCCAAAATAACCCACACAGAAGATACTGTCCATAAATGAAATGAAAGGGAGATGCTGGAACCCTTAAGAACTGAATCATTCCTTTCCTACCTCTACTTCCCCTTTCAAAGAATATATAGTTTTGAGTGTTGGGGTGAGTCAATTTTCCTTTTCTGAATTCTTCAAAAACTAAATCACTTTTAAAATGGTTTTGAAAAAGCAGTCTATATTTGATCAGTGTTTACAAATGGTGACAAACCAGATGAGGGCAAATGGACCCAGGCAGTTAAAAATTCATTGGTTTTTCCCTGGTGCTAGTACTTCCCTCTAGGAACAAGTTTGGGAAGTCAAACTATCACGAGATGCATATGATCTTTGTTTAGAAAGATGCACAGATTTGGCTGGCATTCAACTCTTTCTTTGCCAGAAAAAATAGCATGACCTCAGTTGTACATGTTATAAAAATCTAGAGATTACAGCTGCTGCAGGAGGTTATGGCTAGAAACAGATGTTGGCTCTGAAAACAGGAGCATGTTACTACTACTTCACAAGCATTATATTAGCTGCCCGACCTAATTTAAGATGTTGGCATTTATTTACACAGCTCTAAATAGTTCTGAACCAGGACATCTGAGAGCATTTTGCCTAATAATACCCACAATCTGAGATTTACTAAGGAAAGATTGATGACAGTCCCATTTGTAAAAAAGATGAATTGGCAGACATCCATAGTAGTTCCATAGCTTGGAACTTTCAACAGGCCTGAGGACTTTTTGAAACAGTTAAATGTATGATTACCCTGTCGTTTCCTGAAATATGAATGGGCCCACTGAAATTGATTTAAAATATTTTTACAAGTTTTACATTGTTGATGTTTTTGTTTGCATGTTTGAAATCTTCATGCCATTTTTATGTATCATTGAAAGGCACCTTGAGCACCGTGAGATGGTAGGGCAGAGCATACATCTAAATAAATGCATGTCATGGAACAATAATTATCAGAATCTTCTCTGTAGGAATGCACCCCTGTAATCATGGCTAATCTGGGTTGATACTGATTTTGTTTGCCATACTCACATGATATGTTTGTGTGAAACTTCAATAAGCATAGGGCACTCTTCTCCCCTTTTTCATGCAACATTTTAGACTTACCATCAGTCAAACTCTAAATAACCACCAGTCTGAATGTATTTAATATTTAGAGTTACCTTACTGTATATAAAGTATGAAAACTCTGTAAATGCAGGTGGTTAACACTGGTAACTTGCTTGCTCTTTAATTGTACAAATCCAGCTTCTCTTTTATCTAATCTGACAGAACTGTCCTGTTATATTTGTCCATCCATTCCTTAACTCAGAGGATAATTCTTATATTGTCATGTTGCTTGATGATCATATATATAATATTTAAGAACACTTAATGCACATGTTTTCTTGGGATATTTCTTCTGTAAACCTAGAGTTTTCCCACATCTCCTTTATATACATTTTATTTAGGGCTCTGATTGTATCTATGGCAACAGATCTTACAAAATGTAGCAGTGTACATTGTTTCTGCTCTGGAGCTGAAATATTCCATTTTCCCCCACCAAAAATATTATGTATTTTCAGAGTATGCTAAATACAGTTTTGAGCGGTCCTCCCACTTTCCACACCCTACATATATATTTCTTCTCTTAGTGATGGATCTTTCAGGCCTGTTCCTCATGCCTGCATCATTTTGGCTTTATAAGGACTCTGTCAACAAACATATTAGCATATACAAATATGTTTTTTTAATCATAAAATGGTGGAAAGAAATTGCATAAAGGAAGTCAAGACATTGTCCAGCTAACGGAACTCAATTTTCACTCCTGGAAATTTCATTCCATTTTCTTCCTTGTAGAAGGAAGATTGAGTAAAAAAAAACAAAAACAGGCTAGGTCCCGATGGAGTCTTCAGAGAAAAAAAAAACTCTTGAAAAATCCCCAAATGTATCCTTTTTGAAAAGGCAGTTAGGTAGCCATTTGGAATATTGCTGATGCCTCAAATCTAAGCTCCACTCCTGACCACTTGACCCAGAGCAGAACTATGATTAAGTGATTAGAAAGAGTTCCAGAAGTCATGTTCTTCATGCTCTGTTGTGTTTTATTTAGTCACAATAAATCAACCAACCTCTTCAAGGTGTCATTTCATTATATACAGTGTTCAAATTCTGTTTCAATGGTTTAACACCAGAAGCCCAAAGCTTTGCTATTTTCACAAATTTCAGGGATAATCTTCACTGCTAATCCCAGTCCCATTTACCAGTATTTTGCACACTGCAAGTTACAAAGTAGAAAGAAACAAAATGAGTTAAAGTATCTTTAAGATGTTTATACACTTCATTGTCTATATTTGTTCTTTGTTTGCATTTGGGCATCAAAGCAGGTTTAGATTTCCTTCTGACCTGATCATGCTTGTTATCTATCATACATGGGCTAGAGTAGGATTAAAATCAAATCACACAATTTGCCAATTGCACCTTACATTAAAAGGTTGTATGCTTCATATAGATTTTTGCTGTATTCTAAAAGTTATTGCGGTTGATGTCTCTGGATTCTTTTATTCAACATAAACGTAGCTTTTTTTAAAAAAAATCATGATCTTTTATTTTGGTGCCTCAGGTATGAAAATATAAAGATGGATATGTATGCTATATAATCCCAGTTTAGTTTCTTAGACAGGAAGTGGTATTTAAACTAAATTTCGCTATATTGGAGAAACCCCTCCCTTCTTTATTTAGCAATCATTAATCAAGAATTTAGGATCCAGGATGAATAACACTGTAAAAATCACGACTGGAAAATACAAAAGTAGTTTAGGATAGTTTTCCTCTTTGCACGACTCCAAATCAGCTTCCTTTTTTTTTAGTACATTAAAATGTGACACAATTTATAAACAATAAACTGGGTGGCAAGTTCTTCCATTGCTCAGCCTTGTGAATAGATTATGCAAATCTCAAAGTACAAAAGCTGTTTGGTATAAGACAAGAACTGAAAAAAGGCTTCCCGTTGCTGGAAAAACGTTGAGGAAAGTCATCTCATTACTTCTTCACTGTGTCTGTCACAGAAGAAAATGGAACGTCATTTGATAACTAGATATCATCTTTCTGGCAAGAGCACAAAAAAGATGGCCTTTAAAAAGTGGCCAAAATTACAAATGGCAGCCACAAGCCAATGGGAGCAGAGGTTGGGATCAGTATTCACTACGCATTTTGTTATGTCTGTCTGTGGTGGAAAGAAGAAAAAGAGGATCAGCATTTTTGCATATGTTATAATAGAGCTTTGCATGATTCCTGCCAGATTGCTGGTGAAGGATTTATCCAAATCCCTAAAATACTTCCATTGATCTGAGCTTTGGAAAGCTTTGAGTAAATCTCCTGTTGGAAATCTTAAACTTTTCTCAAAAGTTCTCAGGAAGCCTTTGATTCTGATCTCTGCCTAAAGCAGTCCTAACCTGCCACATGAAAAGTGAATCAGGACTCCAAAGAATGGATGGCCCACCACCATTAGCTATTTATTTGTTTATTTATTAAGCAAATGTATGTAGCAACCATTTATCAGAAGAAACATTTGCCCTTCTATAAATTCCTCCTACAACAATAGGTTTCTTGTCCAAAATATATATCTCCCCATGCTTGCCCAAGAGCTTTTCCACTGCAATCCCACTTCTGAATAATATCTCAAAGATGTAAATGTTCAGGGTGTTGGTGGCATGGACAGACACTAGGGGAGCAGAGGTGGGAGAAAAAGCAGCAGAAGCATGAGTGCTCCTGATGTCCTGATACCTTTCCCATTGACTTTGCTTGTGGGAAACCAGCAGAGAACATCAGAAGTTGTGACTATGGAATAGTGGGAAGTCCAGTTGTAAGTCCTGCTTGTTCAGTGCCTTCAGAAATTTGGATGGTTGCTGACTGAATGGTTATAGCCTGAGGATTACCTGTACCTCTAGAGGTAGTCCTCGACTTACAACAGTTTATTTAGTGACCGTTCAAAGTTACAACAACACTGAAAAAAGTGACATGACCAATTTTCACATTTACGACCATTGTAGCATCCCTGTGGGCACGTGATCAAAATTTAGATGCTTGGCAATTGACTCATGATGATTCTAGTGGCCCAGAGTCACATGATCCCCTTTTCTACCTTCTGGCAAGCAAGAGTCAATAGGGAAGCCAGATTCACTTAACAACAGTTTGATTAACAACAACTACAACTACTGTGGCAAGAAAGGTCGTAAAATGGGGCAAACTCAACAAATGTTTCACTTGGGAACAGAAATTTTGGGCTCAATTGTGGTCGTAAGTTGAGGACTACCTGTATAAGACTGCACAGAATCAGCTCTACCTCCTTGTATAGCATTATACTACCATCCTGGCCACTGAAAATGGCAGTTAAAAAACGAGGGGCAGGGGTATCTTCCAATCTACCACAAAGTATCTGACCAATGTAGAAAGGTGCCCCTGATGCGTACACACACACATCAGGTGACTAATAACTGGCCAAGGTTTCCTATTGTGTCATTACTTTTCTCTCTTAAAAGCACAAAGGCTAGATAAATATAAGCAATTATTACAAGACAGCAGTAGCAAATTAAGCAAATGGAATGAGGCTAAAAACTTGAGAAGAAAGGCAGCCACAGTCTCAATGGATCAGATTCAAAGCTACATGGGGAAACTAATATACTCAAAATTCAGACCAAGGATGGCAAGAAGGCCTGACAGAAATTTTTTTACTTTGTCCTCCTGTAAAATACCCGCCTAATTTGATTCCTGCCAGTAACAGTCCCATAGCTTGTCCTCTCATACTTTTAAGGAAGGTGTAACTCTACAGGACCACTTACCCAGCCTCCTCTCCTCTTCATCCATGTCACCAAAGTCTTGCGTACAAATTCTCCCAAACAGTCCACGATGGTATGGACCATGGCTGGCTGGGCATGTCTCACACAGTCCACAGCAAGTCCTGCTGCCACGGCATAGAGAGATGCAATTTTACCCCATGTTATTCCTACAGGAAGGAGAAAAAAATCAAACTTAGTTGGCCCAAAGCTGGCAGGAAAATGGTGAAGTTGGGTAGCTATAGCCTGTGTATTTAGGTAACCTCATCAGGCAAGTTTTTTTTTTATTTGGCATTGTTCTTTCCCTCACCCCACTCTCATCATATACCAGACAGTTGAACTGGATAGATGTGTGGCCAGATTCTATACCAAATTATGTGTACACATAATTTATTGTCACATAGTCTGACCTAGACTGTAGACAGTATATAGAGCAACTGTTGTTCAGTGTCACTTGCCCAATTGGTATATTAACATTGCCTATTTTGTAATCGCTCCCCAGGGATGGGCATTGACTGAATAGCTACCATTGGATAAGCTCAAGAACAATCCTTTAAAGTTCCCAATTAGATGAGATGCCATTCACACAACTTATAAAAGTATGCATAAATGTATATAATATCCTGCTTTGGATCAGGTCTAGATTGCCCTCTCCGTCCTCTTGTGTGCTTGCTACAATAAGAAATCTGGACACACACAACTGCTAGGGCCCACTCTCAATTCTGATATAGAGAAGAATTAAAGTCATTAAGGGACAGCACAATCTCCATTCTTATCCCCTTCTACCATCTCAATTTGCTTTTAAACATTTATTTACAAAATTGCTTATTACAGAATAGAATAGAATAGAATAGAATAGAATAGAATAGAATAGAATAGAATAGAATCTGGAAGGGACCTTGGAGGTCTTCTAGTCTAGTCCCCTGCTCAAGCAGGAGAACCTATACCAATTCAGACAAGTGACTGTCTAGTCTCTTCTTAAAAACCTCCAGTGATGGAGCAGCCATGATTTCTGAAGGCAAGCTGTTCCACTGGTTAATTGTCCTCATTGTTAGAAAGTTTCTCCTTAATTCCAGGCTGCTTCTCTCTTTGGTCAGTTTCCAACCATTGTTTCTTGTCCTGCCCTCTGGTGCTTTGGAGAATAGTTTGATGCCCTCTTCTTTGTGGCAGCCCCTCAAATACTGGAGTACTGCTATCATGTCACCCGTTTCTTCTTTTCTTTAGACTAGCCAAACCCAAGTCCTGCAGGCGTTCTTCATATATTTTAGTCTCCAGGCCTTTTGATCATTTTAGTTGCTCTTCTCTGAACTTTTTCAAAAGTTTTAAATGAGATAACAACTGATTTGGATTTTACAGTACAATATATTTTATGTAATGCCACCAATTAATATTCATTCTCTTAACAAATATAAAGCATGATACAGCAGATACAGAGTCACCTCATCAATGAGAAGGATGGTATATAAATGTAATAAACAAACAAACTTTGTCTTACATATGAAAGAGCTAAACCCAGACTAAGGGCAAGACACAAGAGCATTCTAGATAATATTAGGCCAATGTAAAGCATTTCAGGTGAGGGTTGCCAAAATTGTCATTTTCATTTTTTAGAGACTTAAAAAAAACTAATATACGTTAACATCCAGGGATATTATCCGGGTACAATCTTATTTCCCCAATAATTCAGAAAATCAACTTTTATCAGTACCTCAGAAGAGAACAGAATCAAGATTTTTTTTTTAAAGTAATAGAAATGTATTTCAGCATTCTACATTCTGAAAATTAGGAACATATTGAAGTAGGAAGAATTTTGATTTCATGTATTAGAGCAAAAAATAAATAAATGGATGATTTAATGATATCTGACTGAATATTCACATCTACATGACTATCGATTATAGGTGATATATAATATATATCACCTATAATAGCCCGAACCTGCAAAGATGAAGTGAGGAAAGCCAAGGCTCAAAATGAACTAAGGCTTGCGACCAAAGTCAAAAATAACAAAAAAAGCTTCTTTCAACATGTAAAAAACAAGAAAAAAGTGAAGGAAATGATTGGTCCATTAGTGGGTGAATGTGGCAAGAAGGTGACAAGCAACAGGGAGAAAGCGGAACTATTTAACTTGTTTTTTGCATCTGTCTTTACACAAAGGGAAAAAACAGACCAACCTATCAAACATAGTGCCATAAAAAACAGAATAGAAACACAAGTTAAGATAGGCAAGAAAATAGTAAGTGAGCACCTGTCCAGCCTAGACGAGTTCAAATCGCCAGGACCAGATGGATTACATACCAAGGTTCTCAAGGAACTAGCAAATGTGATCTCTGAACCACTGAACTATATTTTTCAAAGAACCTGGAGCACAGGGGAACTACCAGAGGACTGGAAAAGAGCTGATGTAGTTCCCATCCTCAAAAAAGGAAAAAAAATGGACCCAGGAAATTACAGACCTATCAGCCTGACCTCAATACCTGGGAAGATCCTGGAAAAGATAATCAAACAACGAATCAACGAACACCTAGAGGCAAACAGAGTCATTACTAAAAGCCAACA